GGCCAAGCCTGTCCCGACTACAGTTTTTTCTGCATGTTGCTGGTGATGCTGGGGGTGCGATTGGTGGTGCTGGCCATGAGCAGCTTGGAAATAACAGTGGTCGGGCCAAGCCTGTCCCGACTACAGTTGTTTCTGCATAAAACACGCATGTCGCCGCTGCAGGTGTTGCTGGTGATGCTGGGCGACTGGTGGTGCTGGCCATGAGACGTCTGGAAATAACTGTAGTTGGGCCAAGCCTGTCCCGACTACAGTTTTTTTCTGAATAAAGCGCGTGTCGCCGCTGCAGGTGTTGCTGGTGATGCTGGGGGTCCTAGCTGTGCCCCATTTTTATCATCAGTTTATCATGCTCGTCATCATTTTCTCATCATGTTCATCATCATTGTCATCATCGTTGTCATCATGTTCATCATCATTTTTATCTTGGCCGTGTGGTCAAGCGACCCAAGTGACCCAACTGACCCAAGTGTCCCACAAGGTGGCCCAAGTGACCCAAGTGACCCAAGTGACCCAAGATTTGCGACCGGGCCAGAACCCCCCCAAGTGACCCAAGTGACCCAAGTGACCCAAGTAACCCAAGTGTCCGACACCCAAAACCGGGCCACAAAATGAGCTACTTCGAATAGCGCGACGTCAGGAAGCGGGTGCTGTTCTTCATCACCAATGGCAGAGTTTGTGCACCTGGCCTTGGCCTTCCCACTTCGCAGCCTGGGTCGTTGTGGTTCCGCAGCTGCAGAGGCTTTCAGTTTGTGGGACATGTCCGCGGCCAGGCTCAGAACTCACCAATTTTCAATGGATTTATGGGCCATGTGCCTGAGGTACGTCCGTGCCGTCGAAGGACATTGCACCTTGGGCAGGTTCATAGTGCAGCATTTTGCTTGGGAGTTCAGGCAATTCCCCAGGACCAAGAGCTGCTGATGCCAACTGAGGTACGATTTGAAGCCCTCCCTTCTCTGCAGTCTCTTGGTCGAACTGGAGCGCCTTTGGCAGTGTTGTCCCTCAGCCAGATCGGCACACTGCTGCCCGCGCAGAGCACAGTCTGCGCGGGGTCTTCACCTTCCTTGCTCGGGCTGAGCTGGTCGGGCAGTTTGTCCTCCCCATCAGCCACTGACTTTGGTCACGGCTCTTCTGTCTTGATGCGTGGTGCCGCCTGGCTGGACTCCTTTCTGCTGTTGACTGCGCTTGTGGGCAGTTTGTCGTCACCACGCAAGCTTGCGCACTTGGATTTGCCGCCAGTTCTCGCTGGAGTTAGCCAGCCAGACTTGCTTGTTCCACTGCCAGATCTGGTTCAGACAGGGCCACCTTTCTTGTCGCAGGGCTCCTCCCAATTTGCCTCAAGTTTACTTGTTTGTGGCGCTGCTTTGGATTCATTGCTGTCGATCAGATCGTTTGTGCAGCTGGACGTGGCGCTTTTTGTTGAATCTGCCCAGCTCGCTTTGGCTAAGACCTTGCTTGCGTGCAGCGTCTTTTGCCCTGATCCCTTCCTGCTGCTTCAAAGCTTTGCTTGGCCAGGTTTCCCTTCATTGGCAAGATGCTGTGCCGCTCTTGGCGCATCGCCCTCGCCTCGTACCTCATGCCAGCCAGGTTTGCCCCTTGCGGCTTCATTCGTTCGAAGCGGCTGCTTCTCGCTGACCGGATGCGAAACACAAATTAACGCGTTTCTGTCAGTGCGTTCAATGTATTGCTTGGAAGCTTCGTTTGCCTCGCGCAGCCCAGATCTTGGCTCGCGTTTTGTTGTGCTTGACGTAGCCTGTTCAGAGTCTTCGCTTCTGATACACGGCCTGGTTTGCATGGAGCCGTCCATGCCAGCCAGCGCACCACTGGGAGCTTCACTCGCTGCGCGCAGGCCTTGGCATGTTGGGCTGCCCTTGTCAGTCTCAGGGAGCACTCGCTTGGATTCATGCCCCTCAGCTCCAGGGCATCTTGGACTGTTTCTGGTGTTGAAGCAGGCGGCGCAGTTGGGCTTTGCCATGCCAGCATTGGACAGCTCTGTTTTGAGTTTCTTTCTGTCAACTCGAAGTCTTGCAGATTCAGACGCCTTCCTGCTCACCTTCCAGGTGTCAAGGCCTGATCCTACAATGGCTGCTGCTTCTTCAAACAACGTGGAGCCTCCATTGCCAATCCAGAGCTCGAGCCATCTTGGAGTGACGCTTCTACTTGATATCGCTGTGCTTGGTTTGGCTGTTCCGTTGCGGGCACCTACACGTTTGGGTGCCGCATTGCTGACAAGCACCGGGTCTCGCACTGATTTGCCATTTTTGGTGTCGGAAAAGCTGGTGGCAGGCTCTTTGCCTCCTTTGCAGTCCGCCTCTCAAATGGGCCTGTCTCCGTTTCTTTTCCAGCATGCTGGTTTAGAGCTCCTTCCGTTACTACGAAGTCTTTTGCACCATAGCTCGCCAATTTCAGCCTCAGGGTCTTGCGTGCGAACCGGCTTGGCTTGTTCAACAGGAGTGCTGTCAATGGGTTCTTTGTTGTCGCCACGGACGTTTGCATGCCTCGACAGCAGCATGCCCGTGGTTGATCTGCAAGTGGGTTTATTGGTGCCACTGCACAGCATGTTGCGACTCGGATTGGAATTGTCAGTGCTCCACCTCGCGCCCACTGATAGCCCGCTGTTCGCATGCTCCTTCACCAGCCTTGGCTCAGTGCTGCTGCCCCATTCGCCTGCCCACCTCGGGCTAACCTTAGCCACATCGTTTAGCCAGATTGGACCGTTCTTGCCAATAAAGGGATCTAGTCATACAGGAGTGCCCACCTTGACCGCTGAGGCCCAGCCAGGCAAATCCAGCGTTCCAATCCACGCAGCTACGCTTTTGGGCCTCTCACTTTCTGCCCACAGCTCTGCGTGCTTGGGCCCCCCGATTTCAGCACCGGATCCTGCCACGCCAGGACCATCAGCAACACCTCATGCCGCTAGCCATGTGGGGTTGGTGCCGTACCAGAAGCCGACAAGTGGCCGTTTCCTGTTTGTGTTGGCCCTTTTGCATGCGGAATTGCCGCCTTCTCCTCACAGCTCCAGCAGACCAGCTTTGGCTATTTCTGCAGCAGATGATATGGCCCTGGGAATTCCGTTGACTGTGCAGACAGCATCAAAACTAGGCATTAGCTCTTTGCTCCTTGGACTTGCTTGCCTGGACTTGGCGTGTTTGACCACAGGCTCCTGCCAAGTTGATTTTCCACTGTCGCTGCAAGGCATTGTGCAGTCAAATGCTGCAACTTCGATGATTTCCCTTCGCCAATGCGGCGCCACTATGTCACCACAGAGGTTTGCAAGGCTTGAGCTGCCTTTGGCTGTTCCAGACAAGTCCAGGCTTAGCACGCCAGTGCCCGTGCTTGATTGTCCATGTCCTGAATTTCTGCTGGCACTGCAGGGTGCTGGCCATGTTGACACTTTGCCGCCATCGTTGAATCTTGTGCAGGTGGACTTTTTGCTTCCCCTCCGCTCTTTTGGGCGCCCAGATGCTTTGACATCCGCTGTTGGAATGACTTGCTCGGGCCTCGCGGCTGCCATGGGATCCTATGCTGCTGGAGTGTCATTGTTTCTTCGCGGCTTTGCTTGGCCCGAGTCTAAGATATCATTGGCTCATTGCGCTTTGGGCGCCTCGCTCTCTACGCGTGGTGCAGCCTGTTCTGGTGCGGTTCTGACCTTGGTCGGTGCTGTTCCCGAGTCCTTGGTACCGGCGTTGGGCGTGTTCATGGTGGGCCTCTTTCTTTCGGCGCGAGGTACGTGGCTTGATTCGTTTCTGCTTGCGCTGGGCATGTCGGCTACTGGTGCCCTGATGCTGTTGCATGCTTGCAGATTTGGTGTCTCAATGTTAGCTCTCGGCCTAGTGCGGGTTCCTCTTCTGCCGGTACTGGCAGTTGCGGATCTTGATCCACCGTTGCTTCCCCAATCATCTAGCTGACTTGAGCCGAACCTTTCCGTGTTGAGCCTCGTTCGAGCAGGATTTGCCTCATTGGCGAAGAGCTGGTCCTGCGGTGCTTGGTTGTTGGCACATGGCCGGGGCCTTGCTGGCCCTCCGCTGCTGGTAGCGAATACGGTTCTGGACCTTGCCCTGCCAACAAGGAGCTTGGCATGCTCGGCCTTGCTGCTTCCAGTCTTGCAATGCTTGCGCTCAGGGTTCTGCGCGTCGTTGAGGAGTCTCGCCCAAAGTTCTTCGCTTCTACTGTGTGGCTTTGCCTGTCCTGGATGCCCAGTTTTGGCCTTGGGCTCTGTAAATGTTGGCCCCCTTCCGTTGGTGAAAGCTCCGACCAGGTGCAGCATGTCAGCGCTGGATTTCGCAAGCTCAGGAGCTCTCCTGCTAACAAGAACCATGCACCGCCTGGGGTTCATGATGTCTTGGACTGGCAGCATCAGGCCAGCATCAGGAATCCCAGTGGCCTCATCACATGTTGTCGGTTCACTGCTGTTGCCACGAGCTCTTGGCCACTTAGGAAGCATTGTGTTTGTACCGGGTACAGCCCAGACTGGACCTTTGTTGAGCCTTCGGTGTTGCGGGCGTTCTGACCTGGCTGCATCACTCGCTGCCTTGCATTCGCCCATTTGTTCGTTCTTGGTGCTCGATGTTGTAGAAACAGGGCCCACACTTCCATTGCACACCTCCCAATACTGTGGTCCGGCACTTCCTGTTGCAGCCACTGCTCCGTTTGATTTGGCATCGTTACCGAAGATGCCCCAACAATTGGACTTGCCTTCGCCACTCTCTGCGAGGCCGATACCTGGCATTTCCGTGCCGTGTTGTGGCCTCATACACCCTGGGCTGGCGTTGCTGCTCCGAGCTCCCAAGCAAGCTGACATCTCACTTGTTGTTGTCGATGCAGTGCATGCTGAGTTGCCCCTGCTGGCAAGAGCGGGCAGACTTGCACTCCTCATGCCAGCGTTGGGTTTGGGCTGTCTAGCACCCTACCTGTTGGCAGCAGACTGCTCTGACTCTGGCTCCTTGTTGGTTGCAAGGACTTGCGCGTGACCTGCCATCTCACTTCCCACACTGGACTTCTCAAGCATGAGCCCAATGCTGTCACTTCATGGTCCTGCCTGGGCTGGCGCAAGCTGCAGCCTGAGTGGCAGGCCGGCGCTTGGATTTTCTCTGCTGGCATTGGCCTTCAGCATGGCCGAACTAATGCTGACACTGCAAGCTTCTTCCCGTGCTGGCCTGCTTGCTGTTTGCCATGCTTTGATGGGCCCCCTGCTGCCCTCACAAGCGATATCCCGCTTCAGTTTGCCCATGTCAGCCTGCAGCATGTTGCGCGGAGAGCTGTCGCTGTTAGCCCCAGACTTTAGCACTGCTGAAGCCATCTTGCTTGCAAGAAGTAGTTCTTGTCCAGAGTTTTTGTCACCTGTGTGTGGTATCTACGCAGCTAGGAGCATGTCCTCACTTTCCGTTTGCGATTCCAGCAGCTTGGAGGCCGGTCCTTTGATACAAAGCTTCGCGCAACTTGAAGCTCCTTTGTTGGTTCTGCTCCTTGCGCAAGTTGCCTTTCCGTTGTCACTTCGCGTGGTTCAGCGCATGGGGTTAGTATTTCTTGCAGTCGAGCCACTCAAGTCTGAAGCTTCAATTCTGGTACTGGGGCGCTCTGTGCCAGAATCCAGCTTGTCACCTCAAGGTGTTCTATGCTTAGGCTTTGGCACGTCAAGCTGTGAGATGGCCAAACCTGGCATCCTTCCTTCAGCGCGGAGGTGGACACGTGCAGACTCAGCACTATTTGCTTCATGTGTGCGCTCAGGGTCACCATCCTCAACGGTGGGGGCAGCCTGCCTTGGCACATCACCATCACTGCATGCCCTCCGGCTGGATGCACCCATGTCACTGTTTGGAATGCCTGGTGTGAATTCTTCACTTGTCCTCAGAGGATTCTCCTGCCTTGGCGCCAGTCTGGCCATCACCTCTTCGGCGGGCTCCTTCATGCTTGTTCTGGAATTTCTGCACGCAGGACTGCCTGCTTTATGCAGAGGAGCCTCTTGCTTGGAAGTGGCCCCTTTCCCTGTTAACTTCGTGCAGGCTGAGGCACCGTCGCTGTTGCGTTGTGTTACTTGCATAGGCCTTGTTACACTGTTGAGGGGCATTGTGCCAGTTGGTGCGATGCTTGCAGCTTTCGACACTTCTTGTGCAGACCCATCAGTTCCATCACGCAGATGCCAGCAGCTGGAGATGTCTCCCGCATCCTCGAGCACAACTTGTTCGGATGCCCCGCTGTTGTCGCGTTCATTAAGGCAAATCGGCCCTGCTCTGCCACAAACCTCATCCTGGGTAGGGTTTCCGACCTCAATTTCGGAGTCTGCGGTAGTGGGGGCAAGCACGTTGTTACGCAGCTTGGCTAGGTTGGATTTTGTGCTGTCAGCCTCGGCGACGTGTCAAGTTGAGCCTTTGTTGTTTCTCAGAAGTTGCAGCAGGTCAGGAAGTGCAACGCTGCCCTGGAAGAAATGTCGCTTAGGTTTGCCATTTGCAGCTTCCTGCAATGGATTGCTTGCCTCCTTTTTGCTGGCGCAGACTGCTTCCCAGCTTGAACTTGCATTGTTTGTAACATGTCTTTTGAGCTTGGGTCCGCCTTTGGCGCTGCAAGGGTTTGTTCGCTTGGGTTTGCCATTGCTTTTGCCTCAGTCAGGTTTTCGCATAGATCCTGGACTGCCTATCATGGATTCTGCACTGGAGTCTGCTTCGTCACCACAGAGCTTCGCACTCTTGGAGGCAGCATCGTTGGCTTGCCCGTTGTCGCGCCTTTCTTCCCCCTTTGCACTTCCTCTTTCCGATGCCATTGAACTTGGCTTGTCGCTGTCTCCGCGTTCTTTTGGCACTCCAGGTTTTTCCCTGACTATAGTCCCTGCAAGCTTTGGATCGAGCGTGCCTCTGAGAAATATTGCTTGTCCAGATGCCTTGCTGCCTCTTTGCGGCTTTTGTGGCTTTGCTCTTTGCCCCCTGTCTGGAGAGACTGCCCTTGGCCTGATGTTGTCATTCAGGGGAACGAGCTGCACAGGCTTTGCCACATCAGCCTCAGGCATGCCCAATCCGGACATTCCGCCTCTAATGCATACCTTTGCCTGGCCCGGGTTGCCCGTGCGGGTCGCTTCCCTGTCAGACTTCGCGCTACCTGCTGGGGATTGTGCTGCGTTTGGTGCTGCGCTGCCATCGCACGGCGCAGCGTGGCTAGGAGCATTGTTGTTTTGTTTAGCTTTAGCCCGTTCGGATGTGGTATTGCTTTTGCGGTGCGTGTCTTGCACAGATGTGGCCACGACGATTTTCCGAACGTCTCAGATTGATATTCCACTGCCTATCCTAGGCTCGGCAAACATGGAACCGCTTTCGCTTACAAAAGGTCTTACGTGTCCAGAGGTCAGTCTGTCGGCTGCAGGAATGCTTGGCAGCCTCTTGTTCCTGCGCAGAACTGTTCGGCTCAGTTTGTCCGCGCTTCTTCTGAGTCATGCTTCGTTCAGCTCATCGCCGTCAGCCTTCGATGCAGCCTCGATGGTCACGTTTGCTTCAATGCGGTCTCTTGCTCAGCTTGGACTGCCTTCAGCCGCACTGAATCCTGCCAGCCTCGGGCCCACCCTGATTTTGCAGTCCTTTGCTTGCCCTGATCTAGCCACAGCGATTCCTGGACGGCAGGCAGGTAATGTGTTGTCGCTTTGTTCTGCATGTGTCGAATCAACGGCGCTTCCGAGAAGCCATTCTCAACTTGACATCATGCCGTTTGCGTGCGTTGCCTCGGTTGGATTGCCGCTTCCTTCACGCACAGCTGCTCGAGCTGGCATGTCATTGCTTGCTTTGGCTATGGCAGCTGGTTCTACGCCGTTGGCCTTGAGATTCAGCGGTGTAAGCTCCCCGCTGCCAACCAGAGCCTTCACATACTGCGGAGCCATCCTGCCAATATGTGATCTTCCTTTGTTAGATTTCTGCTCGCCATTGCAGTCGTCAACGTGTTTGTGCATGCCACCTCCTCTGATCGGGCCAAGCTGCGTAGGCTCCAACTCGTCAGCTTTAAGTGCAGGCCATTTGGCTTCCATGCTGTTTTCGCATTCATTTGTCTGAATCGGCCCGGCAGTTTCCACTGGGTGCGTTAGCACAGGCATCCTGTCGGCCTTGCGGTCTTCCACTTACCTGGGAGCTTTCATGCTTGCCTTTGGTTCTGCATCAGCCGGAGCTTTGGAGGCAGTGCCAGTTGTCGGCAACGCACAGTTTGGCAGCGCTGCATTTTTGCAGTCCCTCAGTTGCCTGGGCAGCCCACCAAGCTCCTTCATGCACATGCATCTTGATATGTCCCTCTCACTGCGCAGATCGTCACAAGCTGGCATGTTACTGCCATTTCTTTCGTGCAAGCTAGGATTATTGTTGCTGTGTTTTGATGCGGGCGTGGATTTCACGGCGTTTCTGCAAAGGTTGACGCATGCAGGCGCCATCTCAGTTGTTTGCAGCCTGGGCACTTTTGGCTTGCCTGTGTCGGCACGGTCCCCCAGCCAGTCTGGATCAGCTTATTCTGCTCTGGGTTGTCATGCTGCGTCACTTTCAGCAGCTGGCTTCCACTCTCCAGACACGTCCTTGACAACAAAGGGTTTTGCATGCTTGTCATGTTCACTAGCGGCTGCTGGATTGCACCTGAGCCCCTCCTTGGTCTCAAGAGGCTTTTCTTGCGTGGATGTGCTACCGCCCACCTTGAACTTTGCTCGCCTTGGCCTGCCATCGCTGTGCCTCGCCTCCGCCCATTCAGGTAGCACAGCCCTGCTTCAGAGCACATCCAGGCCTGGCAGCCCGACTCCTGCGTTGAGAGGTGTCATTCCAGTTTCTTTGCCACCCCTGCACTGTGTGACATGGCTAGCATCCCCTGTGTCCACATCAAGCATTGGTCACCTCGGCATGCCGTTGGCCCTCCAAGCACGTGCTCAAGTCGGAGCTCCACTGCTTGCTGTTGGAATGCTGAGGCCTGGCCTGGTCTTCTTGTTGTTGGCTTGTGGTGCCTCATGGCTTGATGCCCCAATGTTAATGCACAACTTTTGCTGCCCAGAGCCAGCCTTGCCACTGGGAACTTTGGGACAGATCGGTTTTTCTGCAACGCTGCAGGCCTTGTCACAACCTGAAATGTTTCCTCCTGCCCCGGCTGGTGCTCGCACAGGCTTGCTGTTGTTGGTGGTCCCTCTCGTTGGTACACCTTCAACGCCTCACACCTTTCAGCGCATTGGAAGCAGCCTGGTTTCAAAGGCAGCTGGGCGATTGGAAAGGTTTCCATCTTTAGTCTGTCTTGGGGCCCTGGGAGTGTTGTTGCTGTTGAAGAGTATTGTCCGTGCTGGCGCAACCTTGCTTGCTTGCAACGCATGCTCAAGCTGCCTGTCTTCTCTGCTGGCCGTGGATTTCCAAAGGGTGGTTGTGTCGCTGCCTGTGCGAGCGTTGTCTTGTTTAGACAGCGCGTTGTCCTTTGTTGCTGCATGTCACCTTGGCTTGTCTCTGCTGTCACGCGGCATGGCCACAGGGTCTTTGCTGCCGCTGCTTGGCATTTCTTGTGTGGCAAGCTCAAATGTGTTCGACAGAACCTCTGTGAGCAGCTTTGTCCGTCCAGGTGCGCTTCCTCCATTACAGAGCCTTGGTCAGCCAGGATTGCAGCCAGTTGCAGCCACAACGTCCAGGACGGGTACATTGCCTTCAGCCCAGAGCCTTGCCAAAGGTTCTTTGCTTTTGCCATTTGGTGAGTTGTGCCTGGGATCTTCCATGTTAGCGACGGTGGGAATGTTGCTCGGAAGCATTACGCTGCTACAAGAAACCGCACGCAGCGGCCTGGCGCCATTAGTGTTGCACGCATCTTTGGACAGCTCCCTGTCACTGCAACGGCCATCTATGGCAGATCTATCAGCGTCTTCTCGGGGCATGATGGGTTTGGGGTCGTTGTTGCTTGCTTCTGATAGCTTTGATTTGGATTTTGCATTGCTAGCTCAGAACTCTGGCTGGATGGGAGCGTTTGTTTCAACAGTGAGCTTTGTGGTCTTGGATTTTGTGCTGTTTGTTCGAGCCATTGGGACACCTGGCAACGAGGAAGTTACGATCTCCGGGCACTGCATGCAAGCCATACCTGTGGTCCGCCATGCAGCATTGGAACTACCCGTGCCCCTACACAATTTCATTCGCGTAGACCTTACCCTTCTTGCCAACGGCTTCGCTGGTTCTGAGCTAGCCCTGTTGACTCAGAGCTGTGCCTGACCTGGTGCTGCATCCTTTTCCGCAGCCAAGTTGAATTTGGGGTTGCCCACTTTTGCTTTCACGGCTGCCCGGCTTGATTTGCTTGTGTCTACGCGAGCATTTGGTTGAACCGCGTTCTCCATGTTTTGCTCGGACTGTTCTGCGTGTTCCTCTATGTCTCCGCAAGCTCCTGCGTGCATGGAGAGCCCTTCGGCGCTATGCGGGCTTGGAAGGGCCGCTTGGCTGGTCGATGTTTGACTCGGCTGAGAACCTGTGGAATCAAGTTCTGCACCAGTCTGAGGTCGGCTCTTGCTTCATGCTGCCTATTGTCGAATCAGCTTCACTGGAGCCTTGTCGTGGAACATGACGCTCAGTCTTGTGCATGAATATTGGTTTTGAATGTAACATGGTTGATGCCACGTTGCCTTAGGACTTGCCTTCAATTCTGCGCAGCTTCGCCTGCCCCGAATTTGGAGCATCAATGCATGGCATGCTGGGCTGCTTGGGCTAAAGGGCTGGGGTGCGTTTGATCCTTTTCAGCTCTAGATTTACAATTCCATGAGGACATGATCATTTTGCTTTTTAGACTTATAGCGTTTTGGTCTGGTGGAGCCAATGTAGGAGCCTGTAGGAAGATGGCTGCTGGACGCCCTGTGGTTGACAGTGAAGATGTGTCCTACGCCAACATATATCCAAGCTCCATTTATTTGCGTTGATTCTTTCAGGGTAGCATGTTCGCTTTGGCCTATCGGTTGCGTTCCGCTAGGATTGCATATGTGACAGGCACGGCTATGCTTCTCAAAACATTGCGGCTGCCGCACGGGTGCGCCATTCGAAGCCGAACACGAGACGAACCGCAAAGACACTTTCATGTAGGACACTCGTGCTGCTTGAAGATGAAGAAGCCGAAGATGAATTGGCCCCTTAAGACAACTTTGCCCTTGAAGACGGACACCGCAGACAAATTCTGCGAAGAGTAAACATCCCCATAGACAAATTTGATGCAATATAAATTCCGGAGCTTCGTTTCCTCATGTTAATGGGCTTTCCTACGCCGAGGGCCGCTCCCCCCGCAAACGAGTAAAGCAAGCACGAAAACTATTCTGAAGCAGGCCGAAGTGCCGCAGAATATACATGTGTATATACACATGAATATGAAGGTATATACATTTATATATTATAAATGCATAACTAAATATATAAATAAATAAATAAATAAATAACTAAATAAATAACTAAATAAATAAATATATATATATATACATATATATATATATATATTACATGCGTGTGTGTGTGTGTGTTTCTCGCAACAACGCGCAACGTTCCATTCTCCTGTTCAAATTGAAGAAGAGGGCCTCTTGTCAGCAAGTTTGATTTCGTTGCGTGGGCGCCGCACCCGGGGATAGTTTGGCATGCACCAGTGTCCCCTATGGGTTTATTGCATGCTTGCCTATGCCACGGGATTCTACCGACATGTGAGGCATGTCCATGCTTGTCCAAAGGCTGGCACCTTAGTTGTCAGAAGCACGGGGATGGCCTGTTTCCTGAGCAATTTGGCGCATCTCAGGTCGGCCTGTGCCGATGTATTGCTGTTTGCCAGCGGGATGGTTTGCTACGATTTGCTGCCATTTATCGGAGGTGTGCCCACTGCAGGCGCCGGACGATTTTGTTACCATGCTGAGATCCAGCAATCCTGACAATTGCCAAGGGGCCACGCTGCTTTTGAAAACTTTCTCTTGGTTGGAGGCTGCGGCGGCCTCGGGGGGACAAGGGCGGAAGATGAACCATCCATCAGTGTCCAGCCCGAGGTACTGGCCACTACATCATTCACTTGCCCTGATTCGCCCCCCACCTCAGTTTGGGTGACTTCCGTTGCCTGCGCGCTGAATAGACTTGGCTGCAGGTCGCTGCCTCCAAGGAGCCATGGACATGCTGGGTGTTTGCCTTGACATTCCCCTTGGCCCAGCCAAGCTACCGCCCTGTGGCAAGTCAGGTTTTTGTTGGCAGTGCCCGGGTCAGAGAAGCCGAGCGAAAGCCTCAGTCCCAATCAGACGATCTTGGGCCACGCTTTCTGCAGCTATGAAGGCGTGCCGTTTGTATCAGGCGCATCCGCAGCAACTCTAGGATGTGTTCAGCTGGGAGCCGCTCAAGCCTTAGTTGGCAACCGCTGGTGGGCCACTTGATTGACTTATTTGTTGGCTTCAACTGGTGTGTTGTATGGCCTGGTGATAAGGCTTTTGGGGAGGGATTGGATCACATAATGTAGCAGCACAGCGTGCCGAATCCTCGGCAATTTAGTTATAATGGCCGGTTCTGAATGACGTTTGCATGTTAGCCCCGCACTGCTCGAAGAACCTCACGGGTTGGAACAATGAGACGGCGCAGGCCCTTCCAATGCGCAATGCCCATGCGCGTTTGCTGCCATTGGCTGGCTTGGTGCTCGCACCCCAGTCCATATGCAGCGTTTGACTTGGCACCGAGCCGATGTGTGCGAGCATTCTGGGCTGAGTCGTCTTTAGCAAGGCAGGAAAAGGTGGTTCAGAGGCTAGTGCAGCTCAAGGCATCGCAGCAACAACAAACAGCATTGAACGTCATGCCATACTTACAGTGCTTCTGAGTCGAATATGGAAGTAGCATAAACCCAGCCGGTACGGCGCATACCCAGACTCGTCGTTGTGTTGGCGAGTGGGGCTCCCCTGTCTCCAGGCATGAGGTCCTGTGCTGGATAAGTGAAGTTGTTCTTTTCCTTTGCAGTTCATAGCGAGCAAACATCAGGGAGCTGCTCGCGGTGTGGCCATGTGGGCAGCTGAGTTGTGGGCAGAGCCAGTGACGCGGGAACACACGGATGTTGGCATGCACCAGTGGCAGCAGGAGCAGGCGCATCCGCAGCTGCAGCAACAACCGCAGCAAGGGCAGCCAAACATGCAGTCCTTCGTGGTGCAGAGTCTGTTGGAGACAATTGGGCAGCTTGCGGCAATGATCGCGCTTGTGCATCCTGAAAGCCTTTCAGACAACTTCGCCGGCCATGAGCTGCCGGGCTTCCCTAAAGAGCCCAGACCTGCAAGCAATGAGGAAGTGCTAGCATACACACGCCGGCTGCTCTTTTGGGCATCTACCACGCTTGAGAGCAGCAGGCGCTTATTCTTGCGCAAACGAGCTGCAATTGCACAAGCAGTTCGGCGTGGTATGGCTGCTACCGCTTTGGCATACATTTTGAAGGCAAAGGCGTCAGACCAGATCCTCAGATAATTTCATTCATGGATGCATATGTGTGTGTTATCAGCGTGGGTAGGCGTTCGCCCGCGAGCGTTTTTGCGTGCCCATGCGTGCATGTGTGCGTGTGCGCGTGTGTGTGTGTGTGTTTTTTCAGCGTGGGTAGGCGTTCGCGCGCGTGCGTTTTTGCGTGCCCATGCGTGCATGTGTGTGTGTGTATATGTATATGTGTGTGTGTGTGTGTTTTTTAGGGTGTGCAGGCGTTCGCCCTCGTGCGTTTTTGTGTGCCAATGCGTGCATGTTCAGGTTGCCTCCAATTGGTAATTGGTGGTTTGGATTGGTGGTTTGGTGGTTAAGGCGGGGCTTCCCATTTACCTCACAAAAAAAAGGGCTCAATTGGGGGTGAACTGACACGTGTGTGTTTTTCAGTGTGGGTAGGCGTTCGGCCGCGTGCGTTTCTTTGTGCGCATGTGTGTGTCTGTGGGTGCGTGCGTGCGTGCGTGCGTGCGTGCGTGAGTGCGTCTGTGTGTTTGTGTGTCTGTGTGTCTGTGTGTCTGTGTGTCTGTGTGTCTGTGTGTCTGTGTGTCTGTGTGTCTGTGTGTCTGTGTGTCTGTGTGTGTCTGTGTGTCTGTGTGTCTGTGTGTGTTTGTGTGTTTGTGTGTGCGTGTGTGCATGTGTGTCTGTGTGTGCGTGTGTGTCTGTGTCTCTGTGTGTCTCTGTGTGTCTGTTTGTGCGTGTGTGCGTGTGTGTCTGTGTGTCTGTGTGTCTGTGTGTCCGTGCGTCTGTATGTCTGTGTGTCTGTGTGTCTGTGTGTCTGTGTGTCTGTGTGTGTGTGTGTGTGCGTGCGTGTTTGCGTGCGTGCGTGCGTGCGGGCGGGCGGGCGGGCATTCGTGGGCTCAAAGTTTTGTTCGTCATGCTGGTCATTGTGCTGAAGCCAGGATTATGTCCGCTGCTTTCAACAAGCTGAAAGGGCCGCTACCGTTTCAGATCCCTGCATCAAACTGCTCCGAATCCAACCTGCGAGAGAGGACCTCGCCATATGATGAGTGGAAAAAGCACATCAGTCAAGGGCAGCTGGACCAAAGCATAACTGAACTCGCTCAGCAGTTGCAGCTAAAGACTCAAGAATTAGATGACGCACACGCAGCTCGGAGACGGGAGATGCAGTCGGCTATTGCAGCCAAGGCATGTCAAGAAGAGAGAGGTAGAGAACTAGAAGCATGCCTGCGGAAATCTCGCACGGAGTACGACACGCTGCAAGCCCAAAGCAGGGCCCATGAGCGAGAGATGGCGTTTGCAGAGGCCCAGCTGCAGGACTTGCAGCAAAATCACCGTGAGCTGCAAGTCAGCAACGACCGGCTGCGTTCGCAGCAGGCGCAGCTTGAGCATGGACTGCAGGTAAGAGATGCGGAGGAGACTTCGGCTGAAGAAATGGCCACGGCGTTGAGGCTGCAAGTTCGAGATCAAGAGTCGCAGTGGCAAAGAAGCGAGAGCGAGATGAGTGCGCTGCGATTTACGTCCTCCCAACACCAGGAGCGGTCAACGGAACTTGAGGCAACAGTTTGCAAGTTGCGCCTGGAGAAGGAAGACTTGCGCGCGCTTCAGGAGAGCAACGATTCGCACAATGCATCCCTTGAGGCGGAGGTTGAAAATCTGCTCCATGCAAGGGGCAAGCTGCAGGATGAGCAAGGCCAGTTGGAGTACGATGTGAAATGCACCAAGCAGGAGCTGCTGGTTGTCCGGCAAGAGAGGCTTGTAATGGAGGAGCGTGCCACGCAACTGCAGATGAAAACTCAGGAATTGGATGACGCACATGCAGCTGGGAGACGGGAGATGCAGTCGGCTATTGCAGCCAAGGCATCTCAAAAAGAGAGAGGTAGAGAACTAGAAGCATGCCTGCGGAAATCTCGCACGGAGTGCGACACGCTGCAAGCCCAAAGCAGGGCCCATGAGCGAGAGATGGCGTTTGCAGAGGCCCAGCTGCAGGACTTGCAGCAAAATCACTGCGAGCTGCAAGTCAGGCACGGCCGGCTGCGTTCGCAGCAGGCGCAGCTTGAGCATGGACTGCAGGCAAGAGATGCGGAGAAGACTTCGGCTGAAGCACTGGCCACGGCGTTGAGGCTGCAAGTTCGAGATCAAGAGTCGCAATGGCAAAGAAGCGAGAGCGAGATGAGTGCGCTGCGATTTACGGCCTCCCAACACCAGGAGCGGTCAACGGAACTTGAGGCAGCAGTTTGCAAGTTGCGCCTGGAGAAGGAAGACTTGCGCGCGCTTCAGGAGAGCAACGATTCGCGCAATGCATCCCTTGAGACGGAGGTCGAACATTTGCTCCACGCAAGGGGCAAGCTGCAGGATGTGCAAGGCCAGTTGGAGTACGATGTGAAATGCACCAAGCAGGAGCTGCTGGTTGTCCGGCAAGAGAGGCTTGTAGTGGAGGAGCGTGCCACGCAACTGCAGATGAAAACTCAGGAATTGGATGACGCACATGCAGCTGGGAGACGGGAGATGCAGTCGGCTATTGCAGCCAAGGCATCTCAAGAGGAGAGAGGTAGAGAACTAGAAGCATGCCTGCGGAAATCTCGCACGGAGTGCGACACGCTGCAATCGCAAAGCAGGGCCCGCGAGCGAGAGATGGCGTTTGCAGAGGCCCAGCTGCAGGATTTGCAGCAAAATCACCGTGAGCTGCAAGTTAGCAACGACCGGCTGCGTTCGCAGCAGGCGCAGCTTGAGCATGGACTGCAGGCAAGAGATGCGGAGAAGACTTCGGCTGAAGAAATGGCCACGGCGTTGAGGCTGCAAGTTCGAGATCAAGAGTCGCAGTGGCAAAGAAGCGAGAGCGAGATGAGTGCGCTGCGATTTACGGCCTCCCAACACCAAGAGCGGTCAACGGAACTTGAGGCAACAGTTTGCAAGTTGCGCCTGGAGAAGGAAGACTTGCGCGCGCTTCAGGAGAGCAACGATTCGCGCAATGCATCCCTTGAGGCGGAAGTCGAACATTTGCTCCACGCAAGGGGCAAGCTGCAGGATGAGCAAGGCCAGTTGGAGTACGATGTGAAATGCACCAAGCAGGAGCTGCTGGTTGTCCGGCAAGAGAGGCTTGTAATGGAGGAGCGTGCCACGCAACTGCAGCTGAAGACTCAGGAATTGGATGACGCACATGCAGCTGGGAGACGGGAGATGCAGTCGGCTATTGCAGCCAAGGCATGTCAAGAAGAGAGAGGAAGAGAACAAGAAGCATGCCTGCGGAAATCTCGCACGGAGTGCGACACGCTGCAAGCCCAAAGCAGGGCCCACGAGCGAGAGATGGCGTTTGCAGAGGCCCAGCTGCAGGATTTGCAGCAAAATCACTGCGAGCTGCAAGTCAGGCACGACCGGCTGCGTTCGCAGCAGGCGCATCTTGAGCATGGACTGCAGGCAAGAGATGCGGAGAAGACTTCGGCTGAAGAACTGGCCACGGCGTTGAGGCTGCAAGTTCGAGATCAAGAGTCGCAGTGGCCAAGAAGCGAGAGCGAGATGAGTGCGCTGCGATTTGCAGCCTCCCAACACCAAGAGCGGTCAACAGAACTTGAGGCAGCGGTTTGCAAGTTGCGCCTGGAGAAGGAAGACTTGCGCGCGCTTCAGGAGAGCAACGATTCGCGCAATGCATCCCTTGAGGCGGAAGTCGAAAATCTGCTCCATGCAAGGGGCAAGCTGCAGGATGAGCAAGGCCAGTTGGAGTACGATGTGAAATGCACCAAGCAGGAGCTGCAGGTTGTCCGGCAAGAGAGGCTTGCAATGGAGGAGCGTGCCACGCAACTGCAGATGAAAACTCAGGAATTGGATGACGCACATGCAGCTGGGAGACGGGAGATGCAGTCGGCTATTGCAGCCAAGGCATCTCAAGAAGAGACAGGTAGAGAACTAGAAGCATGCCTGCGGAAATCTCGCACGGAGTGCGACACGCTGCAATCGCAAAGCAGGGCCCGCGAGCGAGAGATGGCGTTTGCAGAGGCCCAGCTGCAGGATTTGCAGCAAAATCACCGTGAGCTGCAAGTTAGCAACGACCGGCTGCGTTCGCAGCAGGCGCAGCTTGAGCATGGACTGCAGGCAAGAGATGCGGAGAAGACTTCGGCTGAAGAACTGGCCACGGCGTTGAGGCTGCAAGTTCGAGATCAAGAGTCGCAGTGGCAAAGAAGCGAGAGCGAGATGAGTGCGCTGCGATTTGCAGCCTCCCAACACCAAGAGCGGTCAACGGAACTTGAGGCAACAGTTTGCAAGTTGCGCCTGGAGAAGGAAGACTCGCGCACGCTTCAGGAGAGCAACGATTCGCGCAATGCATCCCTTGAGGCGGAAGTCGAAAATCTGCTCCACGCAAGGGGCAAGCTGCAGGATGAGCAAGGCCAGTTGGAGTACGATGTGAAATGCACCAAGCAGGAGCTGCTGGTTGTCCGGCAAGAGAGGCTTGTAATGGAGGAGCGTGCCACGCAACTGCAGCTGAAGACTCAGGAATTGGATGACGCATATGCAGCTGGAAGGCGGGAGATGCAGTCGGCTATTGCAGCCAAGGCATCTCAAGAAGAGAGAGGTAGAGAATTAGAAGCATGCCTGCGGAAATCTCGCACGGAGTGCGACACGCTGCAAGCCCAAAGCAGGGCCCACGAGCGAGAGATGGCGTTTGCAGAGGCCCAGCTGCAGGATTTGCAACAAAATCACCGTGAGCTGCAAGTCAGGCACGACCGGCTGCGTTCGCAGCAGGCGCAGCTTGAGCATGCGCTGCAGGCAAGAGATGCGGAGAAGACTTCGGCTGAAGAACTGGCCGCGGCGTTGAGGCTGCAAGTTCGAGATCAAGAGTCGCAGTGGCAAAGAAGCGAGAGCGAGATGAGTGCGCTGCGATTTGCAGCCTCCCAACACCAAGAGCGGTCAACGGAACTTGAGGCAACAGTTTGCAAGTTGCGCCTGGAGAAGGAAGACTTGCGCGCGCTTCAGGAGAGCAACGATTCGCGCAATGCATCCCTTGAGGCGGAAGTCGAACATTTGCTCCACGCAAGGGGCAAGCTGCAGAATGAGCAAGGCCAGTTGGAGTACGATGTGAAATGCACCAAGCAGGAGCTGCTGGTTGTCCGGCAAGAGAGGCTTGTAATGGAGGAGCGTGCCACGCAACTGCAGCTGAAGACTCAGGAATTGGATGACGCACATGCAGCTGGGAGACGGGAGATGCAGTCGGCTATTGCAGCCAAGGCATCTCAAGAAGAGAGAGGTAGAGAACAAGAAGCATGCCTGCGGAAATCTCGCACGGAGTGCGACACGCTGCAAGCCCAAAGCAGGGCGCACGAGCGAGAGATGGCGTTTGCAGAGGCCCAGCTGCAGGATTTGCAGCAAAATCACCGTGAGCTGCAAGTTAGCAACGACCGGCTGCGTTCGCAGCAGGCGCAGCTTGAGCATGGACTGCAGGCAAGAGATGCAGAGAAGACTTCGGCTGAAGAACTGGCCACGGCGTTGAGGCTGCAAGTTCGAGATCAAGAGTCGCAGTGGCAAAGAAGCGAGAGCGAGATGAGTGCGCTGCGATTTACGGCCTCCCAACACCAAGAGCGGTCAACAGAACTTGAGGCAGCAGTTTGCAAGTTGCGCCTGGAGAAGGAAGACTTGCGCGCGCTTCAGGAGAGCAACGATTCGCGCAATGCATCCCTTGAGGCGGAAGTCGAACATTTGCTCCACGCAAGGGGCAAGCTGCAGGATGAGCAAGTCCAGTTGGAGTACGATGTGAAATGCACCAAGCAGGAGCTGCTGGTTGTCCGGCAAGAGAGGCTTGTAATGGAGGAGCGTGCCACGCAACTGCAGCTGAAGACTCAGGAATTGGATGGCGCACATGCAGCTGGAAGGCGGGAGATGCAGTCGGCTATTGCAGCCAAGGCATCTCAAGAAGAGAGAGGTAGAGAACTAGAAGCATGCCTGCGGAAATCTCGCACGGAGTGCGACACGCTGCAAGCCCAAAGCAGGGCGCACGAGCGAGAGATGGCGTTTGCAGAGGCCCAGCTGCAGGATTTGCAGCAAATTCACCGTGAGCTGCAAGTCAGCCACGGCCGGCTGCGTTCGCAGCAGGCGCAGCTTGAGCATGGACTGCAGGCAAGAGATGCGGAGAAGACTTCGGCTGAAGAACTGGCCACGGCATTGAGGCTGCAAGTTCGAGATCAAGAGTCTCATTGGCGGAGAAGCGAGAGCGAGATGAGTGCGGTGCGATTTGCGGCCTCCCAACACCGAGAGCGGTCAACAGAACTTGAGGCAACAGTTTGCAAGTTGCGTTTGGACAATGAACGCGCAGAGGAGGAGCGCAGGGCCAAGTGCATGAACAACACGTGCAAGTGGTTTGTGGGCAGATTGAGCTACTTTTTGTGTCGTCGTAGTAGCTTGCGTTGAGGACATGTTTTCTTGATTTAATTTGATCTGTCTTTGCTCGCTTTTTTTTTTGTGCATTCGTTGTCCACCACTGCCCGGCCTCACTTGCTGACTGCCCGGAACGGTCGATATCATGTTCGGTTTTTCTCCGGGGAATGTTTTTTGAGGAATGCTTCCCAATCGGAACTTGACAAAAGGTGGTTCATGTGCCTGAGTTGTTGCACGGTTTGGTTCAGTACAGCCCTTGCTCAGTTCAGCCCTTGTTCGGTTCGGGGTAGATGAGCTCCTGCAATCCAATCAGTTGCCGCCCAATCTCCCGCACCCAAACGCAGGAGCTCGAGGCCTCGCTGGTGGAGAGGGCTGCGTCAGATGAGCGTGTGCGGCTGTTTGACTTGAAACTCGCTCACATGGACGTGGCTTTGGCGGAAGCGCAGCACAAAGCCGACGCCTTGTACATTGCAAGGATCCAGGAAGAGTCAGAGTTTGCGCTGTCTTTATGTCAGCGCCTGGAGGTTGGAGCGCAGACGCAGATTTCCTGTATGGTGCAGCTCCAGGAAACTTGGAGCAGGTTATTGGAGGCTGAGGCTTCCGGCGGCAGCAATCGACTCGCTGTTGTGCAGGAGCAGGCAGAGCTGCGCTACCAAGTTCATTTTACACAGCAGCAGCGGGAAAAGGTCATGACAGAGTTCGCGCTGCAGTTGCACAATCTGCAGACGATTTTGGAGAAGAATTGGCACGAAGTTCAGTGCTTGTGCCATGGCGGCTTCCAGCGCGAGTTAGACGTTCAACGCGTCAGGGGCTTGCCGAACTCTCAGGAAACTCTGCCGATGGAGCCTGTCGCACTGGCTAGCGATTTCCAGTCGGAGAGGGATTGTTTGGAAGCGCAGGTGGCAGAGCTTCGCCAAGCCTTGTCCCTGATGGAGTATGAAGCAGCCGGGCAAGGGTCGACATCCAGGACGTGAGTGTATCGGGATCAGGTTTACAAGACCACTTTGGTTCACGTCTCTAATCTGGCCAGGAGACTGGCGCTGGCTTCACGCACTGCTGCCTGATCCTTGTCGTGGATGCAACATGTGCATGGTCATTTGGCAGGCCGTTCCATGGTTTGCGGCCAAGGCGAGTGAGCCATTCAGGTTGGGCAACAGGCTGGCCTGCCACAGAGTGTCTGGAATAAGAAGCCTCTCCCCCAAAACCGTGCAGTCCTGAGCCTGGGCATGGAACTCCCCAACTTCGGCGTGGATGCTTGGCAGGTGCGCAATGATCGAATATGAACATATTGACCAGCATAGATTTTTTTGGAGACTGCACACAGTCTCGGCAGAGTGCTTCTTCGGCTCCAGCCGCTCCTGCCACTCAGGATCAGCCTTTGTCGCGTGGCGCGGTCTGGTCATTGTTTCCCGAGAGCGGCGAGCCCAACTTGAACGCTTGCTGGCCTCGATATCTCGCGGTTGCCTGGCAGAGCGACATTGTGCGTTGCCAAAGGTTTTTGAGAGTTCGTGTTCCACTTGTGAGCCGGCGCAGCCCCCTCCAACCACGAGGACAGCCCTGCCCCCGCACTGGTGAACAATCCCACCGTCTCACTTTCGCCATACTTTCACGTTTGCAGCAAGAACCCCAGCATGAGGGGGGAAATCAATCACGGCGCTGGAGGTCTTTCTTTGCTCCCTTCAGCAGCTGCAGCTTCTTGTGTTGCCCTTAAAAGCAGTACTCCAAAACATGTTGACGTGGATCCTAGCTTGGACACTGAAGTCACTGAGCATTCAATTTGTTTGGTAGCCTCTAGAAGCCGCTAGACATCCGGGAAAATGTAAGGAAGACAGAATCTAAATCAAGTTAACACACCTGAGTGAATCATAAATGCATCTAGAACGACCCACACCACATGTAGCAGGGAGGCCACAGGGACATAGTCCTATTTAGACTCTGGTGCCAGCAAAACAAGTGTGCCAATGATGCGAACAGTTGACACCGAACACTATTGCAGCTTCAGTCTGCAAGGTGGCACACAAGAGGACTTGATGTGTGTGTTAGACAGTGGTATGGCTCTGTGCTGACAGCCTGTGAGCCTTCGGTCTGCAGGCAAGTGGCGCATCTTGCGAGCAATGGCATGGTTCGAGACTCCGAGAAAATTCAGTGTATGCACACGGGGTTGTTTTACTGCATCCTTCGCACGAGCCTTGGATGAGTCAATGAGGAGTGGCTTCGGAAGAGCTCTCTCCATTCTCTGCGGAGGCGTCATGCAGTGCACCGCCTTGCTACAGCACTGCTGTTGGCCAAGCAGCTCAGCTGCAATTCATGAGACCAATGGCCTCAGAGCTATGCAGTGCTAGTGAGGCGTCGACGCTGGCAGGAGGCCGGATGTGTCGCAAAACACTCCTATGCAGCACATGCAAGCCACTCTGTGGGCTCCCGCTTGTTTTGTACAGGTTGTCAAGCTTTGCTGCAACGCACCTTCAAAGCGACTCGGACGACCACTTGGCGATGAAACAGGACCGTTGAGTCACTCAGAGTGCCGGCAATGGAGACCTGCCGAGATTCATAAATTAGTCTTGTTTCTGCTGCGCCAGGGTTTGCTCCTGATCAACCTTTGTCACTGCGACTGCTGGCGCAGCGCAACGAGAGCATTGAACCGCGGGTGTCCAGCCAGAAGAGCAGACTCGTCGACTGCACGCATCAGGAGAGCCAAGTCTCTTCCTCACACAGGCTCCTTCAACGAAGCCTGCGCGCCTGGCATGCCCAACTCCGTTCTGTGCCCAGAGCCAAGGACAAGGAGACTCATAGAATGCGCTTACCTCAGGGTTTGCAGTGCCACAAGATTCCTCACGTTTGAGAAAGGCAACGCAAGTAGCATTGGATATTTTTGGCTTAGCTGAGCGTTTGACCTGAGTATTTGAGATGTCAGTATCTTTGTCTAAGGCTATTGCGTGTGGTGACGTCCTGGCGAGGCGCGGCGGCAGGCTCACGAGCTCGAAGGGCAGCCCGGCGATAACGGATTCAAAAGGCAGAATGCGGTGGAAATGCTGACGGTGGGCACGATGGACCATGGTATCCTGGTACAACGTTATATCCTGTGAAGGTTTCCGGGGCGACAGACGTGAGCAAGGTGCAAGGAGCGCCGAAGCAGCAACAACCACAAGTTCCTGCGAAAGGGGCAGCGGCAACTTCCTCGGTAATTATGCGAAAGAAGCTAGTGCGGACTTGATGGTAGTACAGACTGAGACAGATGGGCCGAGGGAAAAGAGTGCGCATGCCAAAACTTTGCTAATGCGGATGTGCCACAGCTGACTCGGTGTGACTGTGCGTTGCGCGCACGGAGGAATGCGGGATTTTCTTTGCTCTTGCGATGGCTGACGTGTGCCGATGCGCGAGCTTCTTTGCCTGCTCCTTAGGTCTGCCCCGCTACCATGGACCAGCTTTATGACCTTCCATGTCATAGTATAATGAGTCACCAAAGAAAACCATGAGCGACAGACGGCACACACACACACCCACAAGACAGACAGAGAGACAGAGAGAGAGAGAGAGAGAGAGCGAGAGAGGGAGAGAGAGTGAAGCATACAGTTACAGAGACACAGAGAGAGACAGAGCTAGAGTGACGGAGAGCCAGCCAGGCAGGCTAGGCAGGCAGGCAAGCAAGCAAGCAATCAAACAAGCGGACAAACACCCAAAAAAACAACAACCAGACGCAGAAAAAGCAGACAGACAGACAGACAGACAGACAGACAGACAGACAGACAGACAGACAGACAGACAGACAGACAAACAAACAGACACAAATATGGCTGTGGGTCAAAACCAATGGCACCATTTTGGGGTAGGTGCACCACCTATTTTAGCCTATTTTAGTGAGGATTGGATGTTTACTGGGGGTACGGGAGTTTGACCCATGGCCATATATGCACACACCCACACCCACACCCACACCCACACGCACACGCACACGCACGTGCACTCCGCATGCCGCATGCCGCATGCTGCACAGGGCGCCGCACGCGGGACGCGCGCGCACACCCGCGCACGCACTTGCTCGGACGCACAAACAACCAAACGTGCAAACACAGGCAAACACACGTAGACGCAGACACGCAGACATACACATACACATGCACATACACGCAAACGACCACGCGCGAACGCGCACGCACGCCCACACACGCAGGCCTTCTGGCAGGCACACAGGCAGGCACGCAGGCACGCAGGCACGCAGGCAGGCACGCACGCACGCACGCACGCACGCACGCACAACCCTGAAACACACAAATGCACATGTACACACGCAAACACAGACACACACACACACACACACGCAAGCACACAAACACACAAAGACACAGAGGCGGGCACGCGCACGCACACACACACAAACACACAGACACAAACACTAAGGCAAAACAAACATAGATACTTACACACACAAACGCACGAGCGCAAGCTATCTTGTTTTGCCACTCGTGCCAAGGTGCGCCAGAGCACAACTGGGGACTGCTGCACCAGCGTGGTTGGCCTAGTTGACTTCTGTCCGTTGTGAAAGTTGCTGGCCATTCAGCAAGTGAATGTTTGTGTGTGTTTGTGTGTGTCTGCGTATGGCATTCCAGCATGCTGTGTCTTTCCGGCTGGCGCAGTACCTATCTCTCATGGCATGCGAGAGCGTGCAACCTCCCCACCCTTTGCTCCACAACTGTGGCGAAGGTTGAACTACGGATTTTCAGGAAGCTTCCTTTCCCTGAGAAGCCGTTGCCTTGGGCGCTTTCGTGACCCAAACGTGACTTGGGCACAGCAGCATTTTTGTGTTGATGTGTGGCTTGCAGAGGGTGATGTTGATGCACGGATGGAGCTCAGCACTGCCGTCCTGTACGCGCCGCAGCTTGCATATGCATTAGCTACCGTAGTTTCAGAATGAATAGCGTCCTGCCAAGCATGCCACTAGCTGGTTCCAGTCACTTGACGCTAATTGTGCTCTTTGGAATGCCAATGCGCTTAGCAGACCTGGACGAAGGAGCAGTTTGCAGCATTGCAACCGAACCCGTGCACAGATCTGAGCTGATGCATCGTGATGCTCCGTGATGCTTCGTGATGCTTCGGCGCCTCAAACCGCTTGACGGCCATTTGGATGCGCCAGCCGCCGAAGCTTTGCCCCATGAAGGCACAAAGCAAGGGACTGGTGCTTCATGGTTTGCATCGGCATGCGATGGCAGGCCCTCAATCGCCGCATGGCCCCACAAGGTCACGAAGCCGGGTCGGGACTCTGCGTGTGCTTTGCTGGAATGCCTAGGCAACTTGGAAGCGTCGGGCGACGAGCGCGTAGCCGGAAGGGAGCAAAGGCTAAGCACAAGCAGTGCCGTGGCTAAAGGGTCTTGGCTTAGTGGCCATCTTGGCTTGCAGCCCTAGGCTCTTCGGCAAGCGCTCCAGGAAATGCACCGCAGGCCGGGTTCAAAGAGGTTCCAGACGCCATCCCGCAAGACTCTGCGTATGAGGGCAGGCGCGAGCCCGGGCTGTGTACTTGGCGACACCTGGGCGGCTTGAACGCATTCAGCGCTTGGAGCTCACTGATTTTGATGGAAGAGCTCTTCAGGTGCCTGGCCGAGCAGGTCAACAACGCGAGGGAACAGGATGCAGCAGCGTTGCTCGTGCCAGCCGAGGGAGTGGGAACCGGCCAGACAGAGGCGGGTTGCGTGAAATTGGGTGTTCAACCGGTGTCGCAAGTTCTGGCATGGTCAGGTGCTGTCCTCTGTGGTGACGATTGAATCTGCACCTGAGCACCCCAGCTGGATGTAGAGACACGCCTCATGCCACTACAACTTCTAGACATCTTGCATGAGCTTCGTCTTGTGTCCAGTTGTCACCTGTCTAGGTTGCCGCTGCCTCCACCTCTAAGTTGCAACTTGGCCACACGTCAAATAGCAGGCGCGCCCAAGACGGTCCTAACGCTTCGCAGAGTGCTGCTTGGCTGCTCGCAGTCGGATGGACCTGTCTTGGAGGCGGGGCAGCCGGGCACGGGTCGTCGGGGCGGCGGGGCGTGCTTCGCCTTTGTCCTGCTTCGGCACAGCCGCCTAGGTGGGAGCAGGGACGGAATGTGAACTGTATGATTGCCACCTGCGCGGGGGCATCAAACTGTGTGAGGGTGCAAGCGCGAAGCTAGTCAGAACACATGTCAAGGCCCCTTGCCTGCAGCCAAACCCAGCCAGATTCTACGCGCGGAATGTTGACTTGACCTTCAGTAGTGTTGCACCTGACACGCATATGTCCATTCTTATGCACCCCTTAGGCGTCAGCTGGAGCTGGTATTGAAGGAAGGGCTTTTGACAACCTCGTGCTCATGGCCTGTGTCATCCAAAATTGCGCTACTCACGCGGCAATATGGGGTCAGCCAGCGCTGACTACTTTTATTGAGATGAACACCGTGTCATTTGTGTTTGCATGAAAGTTGAAAGGCGGCTGATGGCTTGACACTGCGGCGTGGCAAGGCCTGAGTGATAGATCGCGTAAATCAATCTCATGCACTTGCTGAGCAGCGCAGGCCGACATCTCTGATTGCACCATCAGCGATTGCGGTCAAAGTGGTTTGGTGCTTGGGCCTGGCGAATGGAAGCTTACAGGATGCACGATGTTCCTTGGTGGAACTCGAGCAGTTTTGTCAGCACAAACATGTCAACTCTTCTTTTGCAATGCCCAAATTAGTGGTGTCAGCTGCAGGTCTGGCAACGCTCAGTATGGTGTGTGGGCAGAAGCTGATGCCCATGTGACATGCAGATGCACGTTTGCAAGCTGGGAGTGGAAGAAGCATGTTGAAGTGCTATCAATCAAGCAGTATCATTGGTTGGCACACCCGCTCAATTCTTCCGATCGAAGGGGGCAATGTGGCTATTGACAACAACTTGGGCGACAAAGGCGGCCGAGGGGTGCTTCGACTGGTTAGGCATGAGCTGCAAGGTCTTCGCGTTCACTTGTTGCAGTAATTTTGTGCCGAGGATCTTCCAGACTGGCATGCAGGATGTGGTCTTTTACCCGGGGATCACTGTAGAGTTTGGAGTGAAAGCCGCAGCAAGTGGATGCATGGTCATGTCGCCGAAGTCACCGACGAGGACCGCAGTGGAAGCATCATTTGCCGTCGGCCGCGGCATGTCCTGCAGCACAGGTTGCAGTAGCCATCAAGGGCAAGTCTGGCTTGGCCCCTCCTGATGATGCAGCTCCTGATGCAGCTCCTGATGCAGCTGCTGCTGATGATGCAGCTCCCGATGATGTAGGTAACCTCCAGGTGCAATGCCCAAGGTCCCCAGCTGTCGGCAAATGCCAGAATCAACAAGCACAAGCATATTTCAACAGCAAAGGGGCAGAATTTGGTTCTGTTGGCAGGCAAAGCATGGCGAGGTTGCAAGACTGGAGCCCGCGCGCTCAGGTGGATTCACAGCAAAGCGCACAGCCAGATAGACCTCATGGGAAGACAGCGGCAGGTGCCCAGGGCACAGTTATATACCGATAGGTTCTACACACCAACAGAAATCGTCCCAATAGTTGCGCCTGTGGCACAGGACTGAAAGTTCCTTTGGCTGGTGTACGGCCTCGGCGCAGTGGTGGAGATGCTCCGCCTGCCTATTCGAAGGCCGTGCGCAACGGTGTGTGAAAGGAACCAAGCTCTGCAACAGCGGCCAGAAAGATGAAGTCAAGCCTTTAGACTCTCACGTTAGCTGGCCACCTTGAGTACTTCCTTGCATTAGAAAGTCTTCTTTTAGAGGGGTGTCAGGGTGGGAGTCAGCCCTTGGCTTGTCTCACGCGCACGATCCTTGCCATCTCCCTGGCCTGGTTCGCCGCTTTGCTCCGCTTTTTCTTCCGCTGTTCTCCCCGCTTATGCCCAGACTGTTCGCTCCACTCTTCTCTCCGCTCGCCGCTCTTCTCGCCGCTTTCTCCCCACTCTTCGCTCTATTTGTCACTCCGCTCTTGTCTCTGATTCCGCCTTTCTCCCCCACTCTTCCCCCCAATCGTTTTTCCAGTCCGAATGCGGCCCGGCAGTTGCGAAACAGCGTTGCAGATGTATGCAGCCTTGACTGCGGCTGAAACAAGCGGGGCAAGAGACGGAAAGCCCGGTGAGCCAACCAGCAACTTTGCATCCCGTCGCTTGACGCAAGTGCGGGCAGCCGCAAGTCGTTCCTTCGACTACGGCGTGGCCTGCGACGTCGGTGCCCGAGCCCAGCTCGAACTCAAGCAATTAGTTGGTCTTGTCTGCCGACTTGCGAGGCGCTTGTCACTGTTAATCCAGACGGGGTCATTCTGGCTGTCAGCAAGCCAGCTGTTTGGAACAGAATCTGCGGCGAACGCTACACCGGGGAGCGTAGCCAGCATTAGGGTGGAGAATTACAGGGAGCAATCTTCGAAGGTGTGACAGTCGCAGTCACACGGACTCCAGAAAGCCCATGGCAGCCATCGGAAAAGTGATGCGAGCACATCGTGATCTCTTGGTTCTGCAATTGCAGAATGGGACAAGATATCCTCTTTGGCAAGCCTGTTCACAAGCCTCTTTGGCAAGCACGCTGGCAGCCACGTTGCCCTGCTGGGAAAAGGTTGGGGTGATGCTCGCTGGCGGGCTGCCGCAGGCGTTGGCGCTGATTGAATTGCTTGAGGGATGGCCGTGTTGTCAAACACGACAGGCTACAGGGCGCGTTCTCCTGATTGCACCTGGGCCCCTTCCGTCAATCCTTGACCCTTTTCATACATACCTTGGCTTTGCCCTTCGAACCCGTTCTATCCACTGACCGCCATCCGCCTTTTCGGAACCTCCTTTGAGCTCCCTTGCACGTCTGCTTCTTATCCATAGCAGGTGGACTTGTGTTGCAGCAGACGTATGGAACATCGCCGCTTGGAATCGCGATTTTGACATGGGATAAGGGAGCATTGTGCATGCAAGGCCGGACAACGAAGAGGGCCTTACAGACTGTTCATGGCAGAAGGCGGGTCTGGCAGACAAGGATGGCGCCAGTTGCCCCGCGAAGTGCAGGCGAGTCTCCAAATGTAACGTTTTTTCACTGGTCGGCGCTGGGCAGGCAAGATTTCATGCAGAAGCACGCCGTCAACGCAGACAGATTGGTGTGGCAAAAGTGGCAAAGTGGCTTGGCTCTGGTTCCGGCCCCTGATGCAAGACACAAGTCGGGAAGCTGGCAAGCATCCAACATATGTCCGAAGCTAAGGTCGAAAGTTGCTGCTGCAAGAGCCAGGGCTGCAGCCGCGTTGAAACGGCATGTGGTCCCAGCCTGGCTGCAGCGGCAAAGGATCCTTTGCTGCATACTGCCATGGTGTTGGGCTGGCCTCACGGAAGCGTTTTGACTCATTTCTCACACCCATTCATTCCCCTTGAAGTGACCACCTATCTTGAGAGAACTCGTGCCTTGGGCACTGTGGCTTTGTACCCGTGCTTGATTTTATCGGCAACATCAACTGGAATGCCTTGCAGGCGTGCAAGTCAATGCGCTTTTGGGCGGTTTGTTGGCGGATTGTAGGGGCTGAGCACGCCTGGGGCTTTCTTGCAAGCAGGAGAAGTGTAGCGGTGACGATTCATATGGAGCGCACACATTACTTGCAGGCCTTTGAACTCATCTCATAACGTCAACTTAACTGGAACAGGCTTGGGCGCTGGCAAATGAGCTGCATTCTAAATACCCTGCAACTGAAAGTAGTATTCGAGAGGAAATATGGATGATTTGAAAATGTGTTTTTTCCCCAGGACGCGGGGGCCAGGTAAGGGTTCGCGAAAGGGTGTGACCATTTGCCCGCGTAGCCCCCTTGGATGCCTTCTACGAAGCTGTTGCGTTTCCACAGCTTTTGTGGTTTCGCCGTGTTCGCGCAAGCAAAAACACACGAACACTAACTTCCACAAAAAACTCAATCCGCGTAAGCGCCACGTAGGCATTTGCAATGTAGACACCATTCGCGTAAGCTACCCTCGCAGCCGCGGAAGCCCCGTGTAGGCCTTCGCGAAAGCATTTTGTTAGTGCCTCTGGCCCGCACAATGATTTAGAACAATGCTCAAATGTTGCATTTATGCTGCTGCCCCCCAGGCTATTTGTTGTTTCTTTTTTGCGGTTGGGAATCCTTGTTCAAAATGGCACCGGAGGCGGGCACCTTGGTGCACTTTTCTTGTGTTGCCTGATTTCCGGCTGATAGATGACTGCTTTGAAGAGCCAAAAGCGGACCACAGCCACCCTCCAAGACTCCAAGCCAAGTTCCAAAAGGACCCGCCCAACCCCCTGCCAATGACGTTGGCATTTTTCAAGTTTTGAGCTGAATTGGCGAGGTCAGCCCATCGACACAAGCCGGGCTGAGGAAAAGACGAGTGCACCAGACTTGCCATGTTTGTGTTTTTCGATGCCCACTCTTTCTTGCACAGTCCACAACTGCAAGCAGACTGCTCAGGCCCTGCTTGATCAGGCGGCCTGACTGCCCCGTGCTGCTCCATTCTGATTCTGCACGCAGCATATCCGTCCAGCAATGCTTGTCGTGTCACAGGCGTGCCACTTGCAGTGCTTGACTTTGCCCAGCCGGACTCCCAGTTCCAAGCTATGCAACCAATCCCCTTCAGTCAGTTGCTTGATGTTGCTTGACAATGCCACCAAGGCCTGGCTCCACGTCATCTTGCCAGAGGTTGCTGGCCTGCACAAAATCACCTGCAAAACGGGCCTGGCATTTCATGTATCATTCTGTGAACGCCCAGGTGTGCACGGCTTGCAAGCAACGTTGACATCAAGAGCAGCCCAAGTGGGCATCTTTGCACCGGAAAGAGGTGACTACTCGTTGCCCCTTGCCAGCCAGCAGTCCCACCAAGGCATCACGCTTGGGAATGGCAATGCGAAGGTCGAGTTCGCTGACTCATCTCTGAAATGGCGGCTCCGGCAGTTTCCGAGTTGTTGGGTTTTGAGCTGGGTTGCTGCAGTTGCTAGCTAAATTCCAGGTGGTCAGCAGGCAGCCGCCCCTTCACCTTGACATCGTCGCGCCCTTGGGAGCATGCACTGGTGATCTGCTGATCTGAATGCAAGTAGTGCAATCAGGGATGGTGGCATCCTTCATGGCACTTGGAGTGCGCAAGCCTGAGACGTGCCTAGCGGATCCTAGCGGCCCAAGCAACTGCAAGCGACTGCAAGAGCGAATGCGCAGCATGTTGCGTGCGTTAATCCTGGCTCAAGCCGTTTCAGTCAGCCTTCGAGATTTGCACATCCCGCGTGAACATGTTGCAGATGCCAGCCCCCGGTGCAGGCTATGCGCGCCAGGGACCGAGTCGGCCCACAACTCCGGTGCCTGATATGCGAAACCTCTACGGACTGGATGCCAAGGGTGCCTCGCCCTTCATTCTCCCTGACATGCCTCGGGCTCAAGGACCCGGAGTGCAGGCACCGCTGGACCAGTCACAGTTGGTGAAGGGCCAGCATTTGGACTATTGGAGTGAGCACAACCAGTGCTGGCTGCCGGCCATCATCACAGATGTGGACAGTGAGTCAGGCGGCGTTTGCCTCAATGTCAAACCGAACGTGGCCATCTCTCGGGCGGACCAGCGCCGGAAAATCCGCACACGCACTATTCCCAAGAAGGAGCAGGTGGCAATGGTGCAAGAAATCATGCAGCAAGAGCAAGTAGAGGCAGTTGCCGAGAAGATCTACGCCAGTGCTTCTGGTGGGAAGGGTCGGCTTCCCATGGCACAGGTCCAAAATCTTGGCACCTACTTGGATGGCTTGCTGGGCTTGGTGGGTTGCCAAGTTCACTTGATGCAGTCCGCTCGAAGTGACACTGGATTGACATTGGATGAGTTCAAGAAGGTCTTCTGGGAACTACTCCAATCACAGCAGGACATTTCCGTGCAGGCCATCCCTCGCTTCTCCATTGAGTCAATCAGGGAGGGTTCCCCGTGGAGCAAATACAGCAAGGGCAAGGAACTGGGTCACGGGACCTACGGCTACGTCTACCTGGCCAATGACAAGCACTCGAAGCAAATTCGCGCGGTGAAGGAGATCTCCAAAGAGAAACTTCAGGGTGACATGCAGGCTATGAAGAAGGAGATTCAGAACCTCACCAATTTGGACCATCCTCACATCTTGAAGCTGTATGAGGTCTACAGCAACAAAGACCAGATCTACCTGGTGACAGATTTTTGTCCAGGTGGTGAGCTTCATGGGCACATCTCCGCCGCCAGGAAGAGCCGAGTGGAGATCCCCGAGCGCTGGATTGCCGAGGCAATGCTGCAGCTGATGCAGGCCATTTGCCACATCCACGTGAGGGGCATCATCCATTTGGACCTGAAGTCGCAGAATCTCATGCTGATGCCCAGCCAAAAGACTGCCGCATTCTTCGGCAAGGATGCTGCCGCCGACACAGGCTTCAACTCCAAGCCACACTTGATTGTGATTGACCTGGGCATTGCCATGCACTTCAAGCCTGGAGACTACAGGGGCAATCGGCCCATGGGGACTCCAATGACAATGGCTCCAGAGGTGTGGTGGGGTGAAATCACTCCAGAGGCCGATGTTTTCAGCTGCGGCTGTGTGTTCTTCGAGCTGCTTGCGGGCGAGATGCCATTCAGAGTCAAGTTTGAGGGGAACTTTGAGGACATTGTCAGGTTCTGGAAGAGCAAGCCAAGGCCTGCCAACGGTGCGTCGCGGGCATCTGCAGACGCGCAAGACCTTCTGAAGAGCATGCTATCGCAGGAGCGGCAGAGGCGGCCCTCAGCATCCCAGTGCCTTTCTAGCGCCTTCCTGAAAAAGGCTGTGCCAAACAGCCGGGTCAGCCTTGACGACGCACAGAGAGACCGATTGATCAGAAGACTGGCGTCTGTCCACTGCAGGTCAGTTCTGTACAAGAACATTGCGTTGACCATTGCCCAGGACTGGCCACCAAACCAGATGCCCACCTTCAAGCAGCTCTTCAATGAGTTCGATGTGCTTGGCAACGGGGCCTTGTCAGCGGAAGCCCTCGAAGGAGCGCTGGTGAAGCATGGCATTGAGCAGGGGGAGGCGCACCGTGCGGCCACCGCCATGAACCTCAGCCAGGACAAGGCAACCATCCACTGGACGGAGTTTATTGCAGCTTGCATTGACCTCAGCCAGCCCGAGTTCGAGCCCAAAATCTTCAAGATCTTTCAAGATGCTGACGCAGACCGCGACAACCTGCTGGCAGCCTCCGATCTCATGAACACCTTCCCCCAGGGCCACAAGTATTCCTTTGAGACTGCTGCGACCATCTTCAGAGATTTGACAGGCCGTGATGCCAACCAAGACAAGGGCGCAAGGATGGATTGGACCACATTCTACTCCCACTTGCGCAGTTGTTCCGTGAACGGTCTTGAGGCTGAAGCGGACAAGTCCCTGCCCAAATCTCAATGGGGACTCCTGGGAGGAGTTGTCGATGCCATCAGCAATGCAGCGGCAACGTACTTCTCCAATGAGACCAACTTTCTGGGTGAGAAGGCCCCGCAGAGTTTGGAGGAGATGCTAAAAGCCTTGGCAGATATGGGCTTCACCAACAAGGAGCTGAACAAAAAAGTCATCAAAGAGAAGGGTGGCAGGCTGAGTGAGGATGTCATCGAGGCCATCATGCAACAAAGCCAGTGAGAGCGCGACGTTTTCTGCATGTCACCGAGCAAGCCAAAGGCTGCGGTCGACCAATGCATGGAATTTTTGAATTGGTTCACACATGCACGGCATGAGCATTGCAAACTGCAGTTCATGGATATTCATAGTAAGGAGCATGACTTCACTGATTTGGGGCTGATCAAGTCATGTCAGTTGAGATTCCTGAGCCGGGTGTGGTTGAACTTAATTGCATGGCTTAAAGAGCCAACTTGACTGACGCTGTGCCGTGACATGTCACACACATGCTGCGCTCCCAGCTGGGAGCACAGCGCGTCAGCCACGTGCCGCCATGCGCCCAGCGCATGGACTTTCATGAGCAGCCCAGGCTGCTTCCGGATCAGAGTTATATTCTTGTGATTGGCAATGAGGAATGCCTTCGTCCAGTCTGAACAGTTGGATTTGAATACAGATGTTGTTCTTCCATATTTGCCAGCATATTGCCTGTCACGATTTTGCCAGACAATGCAAGGTGTAGTTGAGTGTCTGCCTGACATGCGAAAAGCACCTGGACACGCTGGATGGCAACATAACCTTCTTCACATGTGCGCTAAGACTGCGAGAGGTGCCAAGACCTTGGCACAGAATGCTTGAGAACGCGCCAAGGCAGATACAGAGGGCTACAATATTGGTCAATGCCTTAGCGTATTGGGAGGCAAAGCAAAAAAAGCAAGCTTTATGTTTTCTGAGCAAGGCTCGAACTCCTGGTCGGATCGGCGCCTCAAGGAGCTGTGGGCAATTGCAAACACTGGCAAAAAGCTTTGCGTTTCAAGAGGCGAAGAGCCTCTGGTCTGCCATGATCTATGGCCTTGACACTTTGAGGGGACGAGTTGCGCAGGTCAACATCCAGCCAATTATGGCTGTGCTGTCCAGCCGCACTTCGAATGCCACCGCAGGGGTCCTGAGCTACTGATGGGTGCTTGTAGCAGCTTTGCTTCGTGCTTGCTGCTTCTTGCGTGGCATGCTGCTTGAGAGTGGAACCGGCTTTTTCGTTCAATGCTAGGCCTTGCTACACGAGCTTCACCCTGCCGCGTACCACATGAGGGGTGAGCCCTCGCGAATCAGGCCTCCCTTTCGCTTTTTACATGCCTGGTTGTCCTGTTCGCACTCGTCCCATCATGACTCCATCGTCGGTTCTGAATAGTGCACTTGCTTTGCTGTGATTTGATTGAGTCAAGCGGAACTCTAGAAGGCACCCATGAGACCTGGCGTTATACACGATATGAAAACGAGTCGTTTCGCCGAACTCATACTTTAGGCGTGCCAGGTAGCAGAAAGTAAAGGCCTGCCAGAACAATTGCTAGCAGCACTAGCAGCACTTGCACTCTCCTCCAGGTTTGGCTTCATAGCGGACGAGATGGAGGAGGTCCTACCAGAGGTCACCCGCCACATGGGGGCAGGGATCTTGGTCTTGCAGGTGTGCTGCTCTTCTTGTGTAACAAAGAAGCGAAGAAGGAACTTGTAAGGCGGACTTGCCCAGCGCACGAGCTGGCATCATGTACCTGGACCTGTTGGCAGTCCTGGCCAGCTCTATGCAGGAAGCTGTAAAAGTCTTTCGCTGAACGCTGTAGCTTGCCAGCCGCTGCAAGCCGGAGGAGCTGACAGAGGAAATGAGGACAGCAACCCTGAGGCTGTCGCAAGTCGAAACGAGGACAGACTTGAGGTCAGCGAAGAGTGCAGTAGTTGTCAGTCCAAGCCAGATGCGATCATTTCGCTACAGCGCTTCGTTGTAGCCATTGTCCTGGAAAGTTGCAGATGCGATCTTCCCCGCCTTGCTGCGCATTTTGAGTAAAGTCGGTCCAGCATGAATGGCAGGATTGCAGAGCGCCAAAGATGGAAATTGAGAAGCGCATCTGAAGCCCTTTTGACGAGAAGAAGAGATGGGCCGTAGTGTCCAAAATGCTGTGATGCTGCGCAGCTGTGTCACCATCAGATAATGCTTTGTTTGAGCCGTGCTCAAAAGAGTAGCTGGCTTGTAGTTCTTTGCAATGGCTCAAGTTTTCATTGTTTTTGTGCATCTCTGCATGCGTGCGTTCGTCCGTGGGGCGCGGTGTGGGGGGGGCGTCGGCGTGCGCGTGTGCATGACTCTTTCTTTCTTTCTTTCTTTCTTTCTTTCCTTCCTTCCTTCCTTCCTTCCTTCCTTCCTTCTTTCTTTCTTTCTTTCTTTCTTACTTTCTTTCTTTCTTTCTTTCTTTCTTTCTTTCTTTCTTTCTTTGTGTGTGTGTGTGTGTTTGTATGTGCCTGCAAGTTAGCGCTGACATGTCGATTCGCGCGTTGCCGGAAGGTTCACCAGCAGCTTCAGCATGCCTTAGTGCTAATGTTGGCATACGTTCTATGTGAGCGCCGCTAAATCTCTTCTGGTTGATGATTTTTGGACAGATGCGATGCTGAAACAGATGTGATACAGGCATTTAACATTCTGCACTTTTGAGTTTTATTGTTGCTTTAGACTAGCAGGCTATTTCTTGCAATGGCGGAATTTGAAACATATCTGCATGAATTCATGTGAGAGAGCTGTGCTGCCAAGAAGCTTGCAGCAGACTTGCTCAGGGCCTAGATTTACTTGGTAGAGTAGCAATGGAAGGAGCCTTAACCATTTGCCAGCGCAGGTGCATGACGGATGTCCCCAGTGAGGCAATTCCCGCACTGGCCACTTGGACGCTGAACATGGTGTGAGATCGATGAGTGGATTGTCAGCAAGCCCCCGACAGCTTGGCCTTGCTAGGTGGCTGGCGCGGCTGCTTGGCTTCAAATTTGGTTGCAGCTTGACCGGAGCTGTGGGCAGACTGTTGACAATCACGCACTCTGATTTGTCTCTGCATTTTTGCTCTGACCAGTGACAACAATTTCTCGGCCGCAGGTTGGATTAGTGGCTGCTGCTGATCGGGACTTAGCGGCTTACTGGGGTGACATGCACAGGAGTTGCCTTGCATATGAACCGCGTGCACGGTGCTTTGTGCTCCGTGATGTTGTGCTCTTGTTGGAGTTGCAGCCATCCGTTGAATTAGGAATTCAGTTTGAGGTTTTCGTGTTCAGTGGCGCGTCATCACAGCCCACTACCTGGGACAAAGAGAAGGCTGCGGACGGGGCAGAGGACTGCCAGCAGAGGTTTCATAGGCACAGCATTGAGAACATTCAATACCAACTGACATTGCTGCGAGGAGCCACTTGCCAGAGAAACTCAGGAGTCGCAGGATGAAGATGCCTCAGGATCGCGGAATGATGAGCAAATTGAGTGTCAAATACTTGAAGGAACATCTGTGAAACACCGCAGACACTGTTGCGCTAGATATGCAGACATGCTTGTACAGGTATATAGATAAATAGATATGCAGACCTGTTGCGCTAGACATGCACTCGCGTATGACTTGGCAAAAACTGCATCGCTGGCAGGAGAGAAACAAGAGGAGACCTCGGAGGCATTCCCGGGCAGCCACGGGCACTGCAGACTTGGCTGAGTTGTAGGCTGCAAAAAGCACACCGGAGGCAAAGAAAGATCAGCCGAAGCAGATCGCTTAGAGTGGATTATGGCATCCTTTTTGAACGGCTGAAACAGAGAACAGACTGTGGGCTCGGCAAGAAGCAGGCATGCGACTGAGGCCAACTGAGATCCTGAAGCCTCGCCCTGGTCGCTTGACACCCGATCAAGAGGCCGTTCCGCTGCTCTCACATGACATCATGGCAGAGCAATGCTACCTCAAGATTCGGGGCCGGGGGAGGGAACGGGGTGGCGTCTTGAGGCTAAGTTCAGGCAAGGCCTGGCAAACCTACCGCCAGAGTCAAGAAAGGCATTGGAAGAGTGGGTCAACATGCGCCTTTGCATATCTGGTTGCCGCGTGTGCGACGTTGCCTGGGCGGCTTGTCCTTGGAAGACACTGAGGACAGACAATAACGCTTGGGAGCTGCTGGGCTTAAACTGTTTGCTGCTGGTCTTTGTAGCAGGCGCAGAGCTCTTTGTTGACAGTGCGCGCAGACCTCATAGATTTCATATTGTGTCAATGTTGAGTTGCTGCTAGGCCTCATAACACTGGCTTTGGCGGCTGTGGTAGGTGCCAGCTTGTTCTCTTGGGGTAAGTCACGTGATGACCGGTATGATTCACTTGACTCGTGCTGATGCTGTTGGTAGCAGGCTATTGGCAGGTCAACATCTTCAGCATTGATGTATGGCGCTACTGGAATGCAATGGGACTGCTCACATGGGTTCCGCGCAGTGAAGCAAGCCTGCCAAGGTGAAGGCTTCGCAAAGCTGCAGATTGCAAGCCAAACTGGGGCCTGGCCAAGGGCATTGGCCCTATGTGTGCAGTCACAAGCATGCATGTTTGTTTGTCGAAGGAGTCAAAGGAGTCGAAGCTTGAAAGCTGAGGCGCAGGCACGGGAAGTTGCCCATGAGCTCTTTCAGGGCTCGGCAGAACTCTGAGTGGCACACGCGGCTTTGACAAAGTCGGCCCCACGGGGAGCCATTTGGGATCCAGATGGCCACCAGAGCTGCAGAAGACAACCGCCAGAAAGTCTGCGCGGGTGTACTCACCACACGCAGTCAAATTGAGTCGTTTGCCTAAATCAAGAAACTCGCGACTTGACCGCCTTCATGATCCTGAAACGTTGTTGCAGATATGGGTCACGCTGGCTGCGTGGCCGCATCATACGACAGCACATGCTACGTGTATTTTATCATGCTGGTGAGCTTCTGCAAATGATCCTTGAAGAAGAAGATTGGAGGGCCACGTCGTTGGACAGGAAGAGCATAGGGAGCCGCAGCATGCTTGGATGGTTCGCCACGTTGGCTTCCGCCTGACCAGCGCATGCAATATGCACCACGTTTTCCCAGACGGAGATCGTGAAGGCGTGGGCTTGGTTGGGCACACATTGATGTTCAGTCAGGCCGGGGAGACAGGACACAGTGAAAAGCCGCCGCGCAAACAACTTGCGGAGCCACTGGCCATGCCTGTGCATGCTGGGCGATTGGTTGCCTTCCAGCTTCTAGCTCAAGATTCAGAGGGTCCCTGGAAGTTGAAAGCATGCCTGGAAAACAATCAGTCACAACAGCAAAGCCTGGCCCTCGGTGATTGGCAACTGGCATGCAATGCGTGGAGCCATCAAACTGTTCAAATGGGCACGCCGTGATCAGCACCATGTTTCAGCATGTTCGTGAGCCAGCTATTTCATGCCGTGAGCCACACCATCTAGACAAAGCACGGAGCCACTGGCCAGCGGCATGAACAGCGAGGCTGGGCGGCGGTCACTCTGCCGAATCAGGAAGCGTGTTTGCAGGAGCAAGATGGGAGCAGTGCATAGCTTACGGTAAGGGACGTTGTTTGCAGAGAGGAGCAACTCTTTCAGCTTAGGTCAGCTTGTTGCAGCCCTTAGAGCTCGTTTGAGGCCTGGCAACCCCTGCTTGTGACTGCATCCATGCTTGAATGGGAAGGCAAGCGTTAGCAGAGCTGCAGGGCTGCCGGCGTCTCTTACGCTTCAACGCATTCTCCCGCAACGCCTGCTTCCAAGGCAGAAGACATCTTGATGCCAGTCAGCTTGTGCAGCAGCAGTTGAGCACTGACCTCCAGGACTTTGATGGGATGCACTTTGAACTTGTTAATTCCAAAGCGGTCTTGGCTTCTTTGCTTGCCTGCAGTCAGCATTTGTCCTGTCTCAAATGAATCCTACGTTTTCACGCTCGAAGGACCATGCAGATGTTTTGGGCTCTTCTGTCGAGACTGCGGTGAGTCGCTCAGTCATCCTGTGTTGCGCGCGGCTTCGCCACTTTGCCAGGCTGAACCGCTGGCAGAGATAGATTTATGCAAGGTGGGCTAGTGACGGCTAGTGACATGGGTGACATGGTATCAGAAATGGCAAGCTTTCCGGTCGTCTGGGCGTCTGGGCGTCGGGGCCGCAACGTCAGTGCAAGGTGCCTACCAGCAGCTTTGCCATGAGAGAGGCAGAAGCTGCAGCTGCATGGTGTCGGAGCTGCATTGCATGTAGGCTGGGCAGAGCCAGCTGAAGGAGGAGCTGAGCATGGCCAAGGCGCATTCTTTGAACGTCCCAACTGCCAAAAACGAGAGAGAGAGAGAGAGAACTGCCAAAACATGCAACGCGCATAATTCCGAGGCGCTGCTTATGCTGAATAATGTCTCCCTGAGTATGGATTTGGATGAGGGCGCGCCAGAGGCTCTGGCTTGGCTTTCGCACGCTCCCGATTGGATGCTGGAACCTTGATGCCTTGGTTTGGAGGCGAGTGCGGAAGTAGTGAAGCTGCGGGGCTGCATGCCCAGCAGAGAGCAGGGAGATGAAGCATTGCCAGCTCCTCGGGGAGTCGCAAGGAAATCCACGCCTCATACAACTTCTGATCACTTTGCGGCAGAAGGCCTTGCTGCCTCATTTGTGCATATCCAGTAGGTTTCCGCGTTGGAATGCTTGGGCATGCAGTTGTGGCCGGGATCAATGCTCGCAGCTGTCAGTGGCTGCTGGAAGAAAGGATGGGCGCGTAGCCATGGCACTATGATGGCGTCGTAAGATTATGGTCGGGAATGGCACGGCGTCCTTTGCAGCACTGGCCTTGGTGCTCGGCGTTCGGGCCACCATTCTGAGCGACGCAATCGCATCAGGAGATCCCATGGCATGTGGATTGGGAGCTTAGCTGTGAGTAGCATCATGCAGCGGAGG